TTTTACTTTAGACGGTGGAATGATGTGGTCATAATTGAACTTCTAAAGATGCCATAGCAAAGAACTGTCTCTCTAGGGATTATTGTATGTTCTCATACAATGTAATGGTCTAATGAGTGCAAGCTGGTCCAGACTGTGAGAGAAATCTGGTTTACAGCTCATATTTCATCTGGTCAAAGCGAGCCGTCCCATTCCTTGCACTAACTTGTATAATTGCAGCATTCTGATCCGCTAAGCCATGCATTACAGATTTACATTATAAATATACAATTGTTTTCCTAGAAACAGAGCCAGTGTTTAAATATGTTATAGAACGGTTTTTCTCACAGTAAGGAGATATTACATTTTTGTAAGGCTTGGTGTGAAAATTTCAATCGTGTTACCAAAAAGGGCCATTAAAGATAAGCTAAAGAGAGATTTCATTTGTATGTAAAAATGTTCCAAAAACATACCAAAAATAAGTATATATAAGGTACTGTGAGCTTAATGGGATATTTTGTCTAATAATCCCATTGAAAAACTAATTTCAGATTTGATTGGATATTTACAGAAAAAAAAAAATACATAATTCTATTAAACAAGGGCAGAAGTATTACGATTCATTGTGCTAGTTGCCCACCAGCGGTAAGCTCTGTTCTTTTGTGGTTGTTCATATAACTGTAACGCCACAACTTTGTTTGCCAGATGTCTAAAATCTAACAATCAAAATCTAATAAAAATCTGTTGTAACCATTCCAAAGTAGTGTGACTATATGAAATGCTTAGAGTTGTAGAGGGGCGCTGGACAGGGATTTTCACAGATTATCAAAATGTGGACAAAGTCATTTCATGAACCCAACTGGCCTACATTCAGCAGCTCACCACAAATATGGGGACCCTGCAGGAGAGGGCATTCACCCAAATTGAGACATCTGTTTGTAAGGTCAAAGAGAGTGCCAAATGAATAATAAGTCAAAAACCTTTATTGTTCAACTGGTTACACCAAGCACAGCAAAAGACAGCCATCATGTTTTGAGGGCCATACAATCCCTCTTGATCAAGGCTTGGTAAAATGGCATGTTAAAGGATAAATTCACCCTTGGATTTTGTTACATGCAGGGGCGGACTGACCATTTGGAAACTCGGGCACTGCCGAGGGCCCGGGGTCAGTAGGGGGCCCCATGAGATGCCCTTGGTACCTTTTTCATAGACTTTTTGAGTTTGGGCAAGGACACAGGGGCCCCATGATCCCTTATTGCCCGGGGGCCCCATGAGTTGTCAGTCCGCCCCTGGTTACATGTTACACCCATATTTAGTTCTATCTTTCCCTGATCTCCCCTCACTGTGACAGCGGGCAGGGGTTCCTCCCCCTGCACCCACTGTCACCTTTTATAAACAGCACGGCTGCGCGGAGCTCTACCCACATAGTCACATCACTACAAGTACCATCTGCCACAGCAGCAGATAGGCTTGCAGTTTCAATGGGCTGCCGGGGCACCGATGAACTTTCTTGTAGTCCATTGACATATCCTCTGGCTTTCAAACAGAAAGCCCATATAAGAGGAACAGGCTGAAAGGCAGAAGACGTGTGTAGGAGCCCACATTGAGGCTGTGATCAACTGATCATAGCTGCAATGCTCTCCAAGCTCCTGCAAAAATGTGTGCATTTATTATCATTTTTTAAATAAAGGTGAACTTCAACCTCGTACACATGATGAGAATATCAGACAAATGATATTCTCATCATGTAATCACAACCCCCTGATGAAGCTGCGTGACCTGTGACGTAACGCGTAGAGGATAGAGGAGGGACTACGACGTCACTACACACCTGTGGACGGCAAGTATACTATGTGTGCGGCGCACACAATAATCTGCAGTTGTTTTTAAACAAAGCGGTTTTTTATCATACTTAATGTGAGTGCATTTGGGCACACAATAAAGCACTTTAATCTTTAAAAGGATAAGGCACTAGGTCTGTATTTTTTTCTACTGAGGAACATCTAAGGAGGAGATAAGGAGCAGGAGAAGGAGTGAAAGATTCCTGCGGGGATAGTGGCAATGAGGATAAGAGCTTTTTAGAAGCAATTAAGTGATACCCACCACTCTTCACATGGTGCAACAGAATATCTAAAGTTCCATAGGTGAACAAAAAGCGAAGTAAGCCTATTAACAGGCTGAAAAGGAGGTGAGCGCATAACCTAATCACAATAAGGAGTCACTGGGAATCGCAATCACTTATTTTTGATCACTTTTATTGGGATTTATCACTCTTATAATAATAGAGACTTTTTCATATTTTTTATTCACTTTCTTAATTGTTTTTGGATCACATTATATTTTGGGACTATCATTAAGAAGTTATCTTTATGTTGTTTGTTTGTTTTTTTTTTATTATGTTTTATTTTTTTAATATTTATTTATTTATTTGTCATTTATATTTTTGTCATAAATTTGCTCTAAATCACATATTTTGATATTTGTTCAATCACTATATTGGTAATAAGTAATAATAATAATTAGGAGCGCGACATTTATTGAAAAATATTTTTTGGTACGCACACATGATATGAGGATGTGTTTTATGTTTGATACATTATTTGATTACATTAAGTGGTCATTGCTGAGGTTACTGTGGTATATTGATGTAACACAAGTACATATTTTAATTTTTACGTCAGAATACAACTTCGAGAGTGATGTAATGTATTGTATTGTACTGTGATGTATTCTTTGGTTTCCAAGCATGCACGGTCTTGATCACTTGATTGGCTGTGGATGAATGCTATATGCTATGATTAATTAAATGAAAATCATTCATTCTGGTATTGTACGAGTAAAATTTTTGTGCTTGTCCCTTCGCATAATTAGGCATGAACTGTCATGATCGGCTCTCGAAAATTGTGTACTAACGAACAGATTATTGGACGATTGCTCCGAAAGCAGTATTTTTTTGTCTGATTTTCTCATCACTTGTAATAGGCTTAAGCCTTTTAAATGAACTCAAATGTAGTCCAAGGCAGACTGATATGCAGGCAGAGGATGTTATAAACAACAATCAATGCTGGTGTTCACAGCAGAGGTGGCAAGGAGCACCTTGCTACTTCTAATTCTGTTCGACCTATTATGAAACTCTTGGTTACTTTAATGTAGCATTGCAATATTGCTTAGTTTTGTGTATTAGATTTCCTTTAAACTTAAAGGGTTTCCCCTTACTTCGCCCCGCAGCTAGGCACAGTGTATTTCTTCAGCAAAATACACGCATCCTTCCGCTTGTTGTCTTCAATTACCAGTCTAGGGGATGTTTGTTTTTGTAGTTTATTGTAAAACTGGCGATAGGGATGGGAAATTGTAGTAGGATACACCAAAATCAGAACTATTCACGCTGAGGACATCTAAAGTTATCTCTTAGTTGAGTAGTATTGAAGTCTTGACTGAAAGCAGATAGCAGACTTATCTTTAAAGTGTAGTAACAAGTAGTTTAGGAGTGAACAAAACCTCTTTAGCAGTAGTAGTAGTTGCCTAGCTGAGCTCCTCAGGTACCAGTCTGTTATGGTGGACTATAGCAGTCCAAAGGTAATAGAACTGAGCAAAGTCCTTTGCAGTAGCCCCCGTTGGACAAGCTCTTCAGAACACTAGCCAGTGTCCCCTTTTCTCAGACCCATGCTGACTATCAAGCACCAGAAGGGTAGCAAAACACAGAGTCCCCAAGATCTCTCATTGTCCGTGCTCTGCCAAGCAACTCTCTTTCCAGTGATACCAGACAGATCTTTGGCAGACCGCTCCCCTCAGTCAGCGTACTGTAGAACCAGGGTCACTCTCTCTAACTTCAGGCCCTCAGTTCGACCCACGTATGGCACCACGTTCCAGGTGAGGCAGCCTACCTCCAGCCTGGCTTGGTGTAATCTACTCCAGGGAAAGATGCTGAACCCATCTGCTCACAGAATATAAATACCACTCCCAGTATGCAATGGGCTTGCCCTCCCTTGCAATTGGCCAGAGCTATATCCATATTCATGCTGTTCATTAGCCTAGCCCTTACCAATGTTCTGGAAGGCTCTCATGGCTTCCTGAAGGTGGGAAGAAGTCAGACAAATTCAACAGTACCAGAGCATCATGAGCAAAGCTGACTAAATAATCTCAACACTCTGCTAAGCAGAATACCACACTAAATTTACCTGACAGCGTCTCTTGGTAAGCAGAGAAACACAGCTATGCTTAACTTAACTATAAAAATCCTAGTACCTGACTAGGAGGGTGCTACATACAGTACATTATATTTTTCCTTGCATGCATAGATTCCTTACTGTCCCTGATGTCCAGTCACAGTTTTTAAGATTTGTTCCTGGAAATTACACTGTTGCTGAGTATGTACCAAATCTAACATCCTGATGGGTCATGAGATACTGCCATGGCAAGTTCTGATACACCAAAATCATTTTGAGGATGGACATACTAAATCTTCTACGAAATCATTCATCCCTGGAAACCTATGGAGTAATCCTGTTAGAAAACAAAAAAACTATCTCAAAAAGTCTATTTATCAAGATTGGGTGAACTCTTTTAAACGGTACTGGTATAAACTGAATAAAGGTACCCATAGACTTGCAATTGCCTCACAGAGCCTATATTAGTCAGATCAAATGATAATCCTCATGAGTCATGACTATAGGTGCAGGCAGACTACACCAAATACCACAAGCGGATCAAATTTGGGGAGCCATGTTAGATGTTTTGAGCCACATTCCTATGTTTTTTCCGCTAGGTTAGGACAGAGCTGAAGATGTCAAGCTAGGCTATGCATTTAAAGGATCAGTCCACTCGCTGATATTTTTGTTTTTTGTAGACGCTATGAAATAAAATTGTCTGTCTGCAGGGAATAAGAGTTTTGTGCTTGAACTTCTGGGTCATAACACCTACTGTTCATTATGGGGGGTACCACTTGCCCTGTTGTCTTTTTGTATTTGTGTTATATTATGTTGAATTTAGTAGGAACTGGAGATGGTGGAACAGTCAAAGATGGACAGGAACAGGGGCGGACTGACCATTTGGAAACTCGGGCACTGCCCAACGGCCCGGGGTCAGTAGGGGGCCCCATGAGATGCCCCTGGCACCTTTTTCATAGGCTTTTTTTAGTTTGGGTAAGGACACAGGGGCCCCATGATCCCCTATTGCCCGGGGGACCCCATGAGTTGTCAGTCGGCACCTGGACAGGAACACCCAATGTTCCCTGATCGACTGGAACAGAGTTGGGAATTATGTCAGGGTCATCTCCCTGTAAAAAGGGAGGGGTTAACTCAGCTCATCAAGATCCACCTATTGGTAAAATATCATTGTTAGGTGGATTGACCCTTTAGGCGTGCATTATTTGGGTCATTATCAGTTTGAAAAGGAATTTTGTGGCACCCGGGTCATGCTTGCATGTCAGTTTTTCTGTGCTTTCCTTTCATAAATCTTAATTTATTTCCTTGTATACATCTGCTTAATAATGGGGTGCTGTATATAGGTCAGTCCCGCTGCTGGCTCTTGTGTGCACTGATTGTGATTTTAGGGTGAAGCAACATTTTGTGTGTACTTCATCCAAAACAAATTCAAATGAAATTAATGTTTGTGTTTCAGCAGGGAAAACCCATACGTGCGATTCTTGGTGTTTCCTGAGGTTACATGTTGTTTTCCTACAAGAAATTCCTGGCAAATTGCAGTTCTGCTTATGATATCATTCCATCTTGCTGTATTCCCCAGTATATCAACATTCATCTGTATTAGAGCAAGGATAGCTTACCTTGCTGAGGAACCACATTTTAAATAAATGAATAAACCTTTGATTTTAATTATTTCAAAGGTAAAGCAAGAAATGATCACCTTAAAATGTAAAATGGCTGTAGTTCTTCCTATGAAACTAAATTTTTATGATATTTCCGTGCTTCCTTCTACCATCCACATATGCAGGGATATGGTGCTCCGTTCCTGTATGCAGCTACTTTTCCTTATCTCAGCGTGTTGAAGCTACTAAATCAAACAATAATGCAAGAAAATCTTCCCCTATTCCTCATTTTTTAAACAACACATCCAATTAGACCATAGTGGTACTGTTTCAAAGTGAACCTGACTGCCTTTTAAAGATTTAAACGTAAAAGACCATGAAAACGTTCTTATGTGTGTTTCACTTAAACCATTCACTACAACTTTCTGAGAGAAGTGATGAGAAAGAGGGACACCTTTTTAACAGAATGTATGTTGGCACGTGATGCCCCGCTTATGTGGACCATGTAGAATTAATAAACCAAAAATGATTGGTACAACCCACAAGGACGCATTTTTTACACTTACTTTTCCTTTATACTGTTTTATTTCCACAAATGTTTTATTTGAAAAAATATGCGGATACATTGTCTGAAAGGACAAAGAGTATATACAGGTGCAGTAACTACAGTCATCTGCAACATCCATGTGCAAAAACATCATTACTCATCATAATGAAAGCATGGGAAGTCAACTGGTTTTTAAAGACCTTGGCAGGGAAGGACTGCATCCCTATGGCCAGGATTCTGAGGGCCATCGAGAAAGTCAAAATCTTGTCATAGAACCAAAGAAACTGTGTGGTGAGCTGAAGTCTTAAAACAAGAGAGAAAGGGCGGAAATAAGCCAAAAACCAAGGGAGGAGTGATTCACAAATGGGAAGAACAAGAATCTGTAACCTCATTGGCAAATAGGTACTTCTAAAAGGCTGACAGTCCAGCTGGCAGCCTTGGTTAGGAAAAATAGTTTGACCATAGAAAGAAAGGGGAAAAGGTAAAACACACACACACATATATATATATATATATATATATATATACAGTTGTGTTCAAAATAATAGCAGTGTGTTGAAAAAAGTGAATAAAGCTCAAAATCCTTCACACAAATGCATTGAGAACACTACACATTCTATTCCAAATCAAAACATGAAGAAAAATATATCAAATTGTTTTGTTCCTCTAAAGAAATTGAAGAAAAGTGAATGTTAGACTGTTCAAAAAAATAACAGTGTTTGTATTCTTCTTTACAAACTCAAACATTCACTATATAAACTGAAAAATGTTTGAAGATTTTGCTTTCCTTTGAATCACTTAATTAATATTAAGTTGTATAAGTACAGTGTACTGTGACTTGAATTCAGTGTTTGGGGGTCGTCTGACAAACTGTCTCCGGCCACTAGACCCAAAAAGAACAATCTTACTTTCATCAGTCCACAAAATGTTGCGCCATTTCTCTTTAGGCCAGTCAATGTGCTCTTTGGCAAAATGTAACCTCTTCAGCGCATGTCTTTTTTTCAACAGTGGGACTTTGCGGGGGCTTCTTGCAGATAGCTTGGCTTCACATAGGCGTCTTCTAATTGTAACAGTACTCACAGGTAACTTTAGACCTTCTTTGATCTTCCTGGAGCTGATTGTTGGCTGAGTCCTTGCCATTTTGGCTATTCTTTGCATTGCACTTGGTGATGTAAGGCTTGGATGCAGCTGCTCAGCCATTGAAATCCATTCCATGAAGCTCTCTACGCACTGTTGTGCTAATCTGAAGCCAGATTAGCACAACAGTGCTAATCTGCCAGAAGCCCCCGCAAAGTCACACTTTTGAAAAAAAGACATGTGCTGAAGAGGTTACAATTTGCCAAAGAGCACATTGACTGGCCTAAAGAGAAATGGCGCAACATTTTGTGGACTGATGATCTTTTTGGGTCTAGTGTCAGACGACCCCCAAACACTGAATTCAAGCCACAGTACACTGTGCTTATACAACTAAATATTAATTAAGTGATTCAAAGGAAAGCAAAATCTTCAAACATGTTTCAGTTTATATACTGAATGTTTGAGTTTGTAAAGAAGAATACAAATACTAATACTAATCACTTTTCTTCAATTTATTTAGAGGAACAACACAAATTTGATATATGTTCATGTTTTGATTTGGAATAGAATGTGTAGTGTTCCCAATGCATTTGTGTGTATGGAAATAAAAGCTATTAGAAGGATTTTGAGCTTTATTCCCTTTTTTCAACACACTGCTATTATTTTGAACACAACTATATATATATATATATATATATACTGCCACAAAAAAAATTAAAGAAACACTTTGAAAACATAACAGATCTCAATGGGGAAATGTATCATGCTGGATTTCTATACTGATATGGACTGGGTAATGTGTTAGGAATGTAAGGATGGAAATTACACTTATCAACCTACAGAGGACTGAATTCAAAGACACCCCGAAAATCAAAGTGAAAAAATGGTGCAGCAGGCCTGTCCAGTTTGCTGACATTTCATTGCAGCAACTCAAAATGGTTCTCAGTAGTTTGTATGGCCTCCACATGCTTGTATGCATGCCTAACAATGTCGGGGCCAGGGGCGGACTTACCATTTGGAAACTCTGGCACTGCCCGAGGGCCCGGGGTCAGTAGGGGCCCCATGAGATGCCCCTGGTACCTTTTTCATAGGCTTTTTTGAGTTTGGGCAAGGACACAGGGGCTCCATGATCCCCTATTGGCCGGGGGCCCCATGAGTTGTCAGACCGCCCCTGGTCGGGGCATGCATACCCCAGAGGTGTTCTATTGGATTTAGGTCAGGCGAGCGTGGGGGCCATTCAATGGTATCAATTTCTTCATCCTTCAGGAACTGCCTGCATACTCTCGCCACATGAGGCCGGGCATTGTCGTGCACCAGCCTAGGGTCTGACAATGGGTCCAAGGATTACATCCCGAAATCTAATGGCAGTCAGGGTGCCATTGTTTAGCTTGTAGAGGTCTGTGCATCCGTCCATGGATATGCCTCCCCAGACCATCACTGACCCAACACCAAAACAGTCATGCTGAATGATTTTATAGGCAGCATAACGTTCTCCACGGCTTCTCCAAATCCTTTCAAGTCTGTCACATGTGCTCAGGGTGAACCTGCTCACATCTGTGAAAAGCACAGGGTGCCAGTGGCAGACTTGCCAATCAAGCTCTATGGTGCCAGAGAGTGAGCACAAGGCCCACTAGAGGATGTCGGGGCCTCAGGCCACCCTCATGAAGTCTGTTTCTGATTGTTTGGTCAGAGACATTCACACCAGTGGCCTGCTGGAGGTCATTTTGCAGGGCTCTGGCAGTGACCATTCTGTTCTTCCTTGCACAAAAGAGCAGATTCCTGCCCTGCTGATGGGTTAAGGACCTTCTACAGCCCTGTCCAGCTCTCCTAGAGTAACTGCCTGTCTCCTGGAATCTCCTCCATGCTCCTGAGACTGTGCTGGGAGACACAGCAAACCTTCTGGCAATTGCACATATTGATGTGCCATCCTGGAGGAGTTGAACTGCCTGTGCAACTTTTGAAGGGTCCAGGTATCGCCTCATGCTACCAGTAGTGTCACTGACCCTAGCCAAATGCAAAACTAGTGAAAAACTGTCAGAAAATATGAGTACGGAAACACATTTCAGTGGTGTGCACCTGTGAAACCATTTCTGTTTTGGGAGTCATCTCATTGTTGCCCATCTAGTGCACCTGTTGTTAATTTCATCACCAAAGCAGCTATAACTGATAAACAACCCCCTCTGCTACTTAACTGGCCAGATCAATATCCCAGGAATTTAATTGACTTGATGCTATACTCTGAATATATATATATATATATACACACACACTGTATATACTGTATATGAGAGGGAAGGGGGAAGGAAAAGGAGCAGGAAAGAAGAAAGGGACTAACCCCCCCACGAGTGTCAGGAAACCATCAGGCCAGACGTGTGAGTGTAAGAATAATTGGCTCCATAGCCTACATGGGCTGGCAAGCGTTGGTGCCCATGATATGAACGTGTTCTGGCGTAGTTTGGTAGTGTGTCCAACAAGATCAGCAAGTACTAAATTTAGAGAGTATCGTGAGAGATGGCAATGAGTTCCATTTCAGCAATTTTATAATTTCTCTGGAAGCAGTCTTGAAGAGATGGAGCTTGAGCAGTGCCCCAGAGGACTGGAATGTAACATTTGGCTGTATTTAACATCTGCATGGCGAATGATTTGAAAAATTATCATTTAGGTAGAGTGGTATGGTGTAGGAGGAATTGGGCTAGGGAGAATTCTAAGGCAAAGGTTGAAACTCACTCGATCAAGATGTGTACCTCAGACCAGAACTTTTGAAGGAATAGGCATGTTCGCCAGATGTGCAACAGTGTTAGTTCTGATCCACAGCTCCAGCGTAGACTTGACACAGATGGAGAATATTTATTAACAGTTGACGGTACTCTGTACCAGGGAGACTGAACCTTGTATCCATTTCCTTGGATTGTCACATTTATCAAGCCCTTGTGGATGCATGTATAAATGTGCTTTCATTACTCTTCTGTGAGGTCCAAAGAGAGTTCTGTCTCCCAAAATTGACAGATCTTGTCCTCTTTCACAGAATGTGTAGCGAAAAAAGCCCTTATACCGTTTTAAAGCAATAAGTGCAATAATATATGAAATTATAGATTATAAACTATAGATGAAAGATTTAGTGTTGTATAACACTTTTGATACTTAAATAATTTATTTTTTATAGACAGACATCCATATTTCAGGTCAAAAGGTGGGACAAGTTGCAAGGAAAGTAGGGGGAGACAGGGGGGCTAAAGAGGGAAAGTCTCTGCAAATAAGGGACATTTGGGAGCTATGCTTAAACTAGTTTTTCTTTGTAAGGCCTGACTTTCAAGACTTCTGGGTTAAGCCTCAACTGCTACCCCTCTGTCCGATGACAGTGTTTTAATGGCTAGTATAGACATTATCAATTTATAGCGGGAGGACAGTTTGAAATGGCTGAGAAGTTTGAAGTAAGAGTTGGTCAAGATGCCCCTTTTAGCCAGAAAATTCCCTCTGTATGAGCAAAACGTGTAACTTAATTGAAAAAGAACCATACATATAAAATGTATATAGATTATGCGACACTTAAAGCGGAGTTCCACCTGAAAAAAATAAAAATAAAAGTCAGCAGCTACAAAAACTGTAGCTCTGACTTTTAAAATACAGACACTTACCTGTCCCTCGGTCCAGAGGTGTCCTCACCACCGCTGGTTTCACTGGCCGTCTGCTCTCCCCAGGCGCCAGCATCTTTATTGTGGGAACCCGGCTGTGACAGCTTGCAGCTTCACAGCTGGGTGCCCACTGCGCATGAGCAAGAAGCGCTGCACTTTTGGAATGACCCTGTAGTCTCCTGGGACCTGTCACGTGTCCCAGAAGACTACAGGGAGGGAGGTGGGGAGGACAACTTCTGCTTCCTTCCGCCTTAGGCGATTGAAGCGAAAGTGGGAGCGGGTACCTGTCAAATTTTGGGTTGTCACCAGAACAGGTGAAGAGGGTATGTCTCCCAATGGGGACACTTGTTCTGCAGACAGTGGTCAGAACCAGGCATTCCATCACTTTGAATGGATTTCATCTCAATTCCTGTTTTGCGATGGGACAGGAAGTGAAAGAAAGTCTCCACACTGTGGGCACAGATGGCATAAAAATCTAATGGAGGTTATAACCCTCTTTTGCTCTAGCCAAAATGAAAACAAACCATTTTGCCTTTAGTTCTACTTTAACTGTAAACTGTGCACATTTATAGCAAATGTACAGGAAACCATACATCAACACTGTGTATCATAAATAACATTTTTAAATAAAATTCTTGCTTTCTCCTTTTTTTCACCCATTACTGCATTTCACTCCTAATCTCCCATGTGCCCCAATGCAGCAGCTACATGTCTACATACTGTATGCTCCAGTGTTGGCTGCATGGCATTTCTCATGGTGGGTTTCCTGAAGGTGGCAACAGTGAACCAAGCCTGAGAAATGTTTGTTGAAACAGACACTTTTCTCCACCCAGTGTGACAGGGTGACAACAAAAGAGGACAATTGGAAGGAAAGAATAGACCATTATCCTCTAAAAGTAAATGCCTGAACAAGGACTATCTTGGCAGTACTATCAAGTATTATTTTACTAAGAACATCAGATTTAAAAAAATATTGACAGCTACTCATCATTTCATTCATAGTCATCAGTATGTATATGTGATTTTCGAGATCAGGGGTGACATATGCTTGAAAGAAAACAAAATAGTAGCACAAATGCCAAAGCTACCAATCTGTAGACATATTGACAATAGTTTTATATACTGCTCAAAGCATTAAAGGAACACTTTTAAAACACATCAGATCTCAATGGGGAAAAATATCATGCTGGATATCTATACGCATATGGACTGGGTAATGTATTAGGAACATAAGGATGCCCCATTGTTTGATGGAAATGAAAATTATCAACCTACAGAGGAATGAATTCAAAGACACTCCGAAAACCAAAGTGAAAAAAGTATGCAGCAGGCTAGTCCATTTTGCTGAAATTTCATTGCAGCAAGTCAAAATGGTACTCAGTAGTTTCTATGGCCTCCACGTGCTTGTATGCATGCCTGACAATGTCGCGGCATGTTCCTAATGATATATTGGATGGTGTACTGGGGTATTTCCTCCCAGATCTGGACCAGGGCTTCACTGAACAGTCTCTGAGATGCAACCTGGCAGCGTCAAATGGACTGAAACATGACATCCCAGAGGTGTTCTATTGGTTTTAGGTCAGGTGAGTGTGGGGGCCATTCAGTGGTATCCATTCCTTCATCCTCCAGGAACTGCCTGCATACTCTCGCCACATGAGGCCGGGCATTGTCGTGTACCAGGAGGAACCCAGGACCCACTGCACCAGCATAGGGTCTGACAATGGGTCCAAGGATTTAATCCCGATATCAGGATGCCATTGTCTAGCTTGTAGAGGTATGTGCTTCCCTCCATGGATATGGCCATATGGATATGGCCTTTAAACACGAATATAGTCACCAAAACATTCAAGCCTGTGCAATAATTATGGTTATTTCCCAGACTTATGTCAGACAACCTAACCTACATCACATACCCTAAGCCAGTCCCAGTGCCAAAATATCTATAGAATGTACAGTATTAAAGTTTTCAATCTTATTCTATTCCTGTGAAGTTCCCCATGGATACATTTAGTTCAATTAAATTAAAATGCATTCTACTTGATAAAGTGTTTGAATATCAATGAAGCATAAAAAATGTGGTGGAATTAATTTTATAGACTACGTCGGTGAAGACTGTCTCAATGGGGAGACAGTGTTCACCTTATTTGCCTTTTTTCAGAATTTTTTTTTGTTTTAGACTTTACCTATGTCAACTTTTTTTTTTTTTACTTTTCTCACCCCTAGAAAATCAATATACTCTTAGATTTACAAAACAAACAAAAACTACAATGGAAAACACAGAAGAAAAAAAACCCTCTGCCTGCATGTAGCCCTTCCCCCGTATTTGCTTTTGTATGCCTGGACTTAACAATGGGCCTTCTTTTGGGAAAGGCAACTACTGGAAGTTTTTTGTTTGTCAGTAGGGAGCACAATATAAGCCTGACTGTGCTTGGACAGATTTCTCATCGAACATCAAGTAACGATCAGAATGCATCTGAACACGTAATAACTTTTATCTTGATTGTACTTTTTTCTTCAAACAG